ATATATGTATATATATATTATATATATAAAACCATTCCAAATTCTGGCTGGAAACATTTATATTTTAAAAATTAAAGATTGAAATCATTTTGTCATTTCTTATTTCAATAGTGAAACAATATCACTAACCCTAAAAATATTTTTAGAAGTGTTTAGTTTTTATTTTAATGCTGCTTCTGTAGTGTTTAAAGCACACTGATCATTTTGACAAGAAACAGTGTATAATATTATCTAGTTTAGTATCATTTTGACAAGAAACAACATTATAATAATTACCAGTTTAGTATAATGGTGTAACCTAAAAAAAAGTAAAACATTTATTATATCAAACTTGAGCATTTAAAAAGTCATTTTAGAGTAAATACTGGTATAAAAATACAGAAAAAAAAGAAAAATCAGTTATTTCATTTTAAAATTTGTATTATTCTGCTGCATTCCTTTCAAGTCGTTTGTTTCCATTCATAGATGATTTTTAAAATTTAAAATATTTGTAATCACAGAACATATATTGTACTTTTTACCTAATATCATAAGGATAGATATATTTTTTTTTTTTGAGATAGTCTCACCCTGTTGCTCAGGCTGAAGTGCAATGGTGCCAATCAGTAGATAAACTCATCATATAAGCTCACTAGGGATTACCCTCTTGGAACAGTTGATGGCAATATGTTATTCCAGAAAGCTTAAGTGTCTAAAAAACATACAGTTGGCATACTTCTATTTGATAATGGGTGGTTTTTAAAATTCTCTCTTTTCAAAAGTGCTTTCAAAGCATTGGAGAACTCTCAGAAATGTCATCCTACCTTAAAATACTTTGAAAGGAAAGAAAAATGCTTTTTTGCTGGAAATAAGATGGAACTGTAATAAATGCTTTGGCTTGGATAATTTTAATATGTCCCAGAGAAAAAGGGGACACACACACACTTGTACACATACACACACATGAGGTCTTTTCAGGGACTTTTTTTTTTTTTTTTTTTTTTTGAGACTGGATAACAAAAAAAGTCCCAATTAGCTGGGACTGCAGGCTCATGCCACCTATCCTCCACAGGAGACTGTTGTTACTAAAAGATTATCTTGTAATGTGCGCTTTCAATATGCTCAGCCCAGTGTGGGTACTGTTTTTTTTGCGGGGTATTTATTGAATGCTAGGCTTATTGAAAAGTTAGAAGTTTGGGTATGTCAGTTTGGGTTGTATCAAGGAAAAAAAGTAAGTAACCAGAGCTTTTTAAAGTTAAAAATGAAAAAGTTTGTTTCCACGAATCTAACTATATTGTATTCCTTTTGTGTTTTACGTTTATGCATAGGATTTTTATATTGCTTTGGGAACAGGATTTGTGTTTTTGTTGGCATCCATCATTTTTGTTTCCACACATGACAGGACTTCAGCTGAAATTGCTGCAATTGTAAGTACCTTGTATTTTTAACATTGCTTATTTTTGTTTCCTTATAAATACGGAATTTGGAGAGTACTTGACAAGTTATACCGTATGTTAGAGTTGTTTTTCATTTAACTTATTTTTTAGTGTAATTTTGAATAGAAGACCAAAAAGCAAATCAGTATGATAGCCTTTAAAACATAGAGCCTATAGGATTTGGCTGAATTTTGTTTAAAAAAAATCCATTTATTCCACATAAGAATGTGTTATTGCTAATGGAAGTGGTAAAATTGACTTTATTATCTTATATTTCTCCACTTTCAGTTCAATAAATGCACACTTACTTGCCAGGTGCTATTCTAGGTATGGAGAATATATGGGAGAAATGATTCAGAGGTTCAGCCCAGAAAAGGAGGTAGAAAAGTAAAATTTTAATGGAGTTTGTTAAATGAACCAAGAAGTTGTTTAAGACTGGGTGCTGTGGCTCAGGCTTGTAATCCCAGCACTTTGGGAAGCCAAGGTGAGAGAATCACTTGTAGCCAGGTGTTCAAGACCAGCCTGGGCAAGCAGCATAATGAGACCTCATCTCTACAAGAAGAAGAAAAAAAAAGGTGGTCTAAATAGCAGTTTTCAGTGGGTTATACATATCCTTAAAGGTTCATCAGGACTTTTCAAGGACTACTAGGCAGAGATAGTTTTTTTTTTTTTTTTTTTTTTTTTTTTTTTATTACTTACTGAAGAGGTTCATATAGAGCAGAGATATTTTTTAAGGAAATCTTTTTCCAGTTTTTTAACCTCCATATGTAATCTTTCTTAAAACTAGTATGTCTGAGAATTCATCTCTGGTGAAGGAGTCTTGCCAGCTCTTTTCCACCTTCCCATTCATAGTCGCCACCCACCTTGCCCCCTCAGAAAGAAGCAAAATTGCTTGTCCTGAATCTTGTTGCATTAGTTCCTTCTTGTACTACTATATAGAAATACCTGAGACTGCATAACTTATAAAGAAAAGAGGTTTAATTGTCTCATGGTTCTGCTGGTTCTGTAGGCAGCATAGCTGGGGAGGCCTCAGGAAACTTAGCATCATGGCGGAAGGGGAGGCGGATGCAGGCACATCTTACATGGCCAGAGCAGGAGGGAGAGAGAGAGAGAGTGGGGAGGTGCCACACACTTAAACAAGCAGATCTTGTGATAACTCACTATTACAAGAACAGCACCAAAAGGGAAATCTGCCCCCATGATCCTATCACTTCCAACCAGGCCCCACCCCAACATTGGGGATTCCAATTTGACATGAGATTTGGGTGGGGACATAGACCCAAACCATACGCATTACTATGGTCGATTTCCCTGAGTTGTAAAACAAAACAACCCTTTGAGTGCAACAAAGAGACAGTTGAAAATAAAGATCCAATTTTTATCTGAAATTCTTGTGGCCAGAATTTTTTTTATAGAATTCAGAATATTCTGGATTTTAGAAAGGTAATGCTGTGCATTTCCCAATTACACACCACCATTTGAGGGCCTGGGACAGTACCCTGTAATCTAACATTGGTATATCTGAAGTAAAACATAATAATATTTATAGTAAAAGAGATAAGTAAAGACTGTAAGTAGTCTTCCTGTCAATTTTGAGCCAAGTGAATCATGAAAACCTTCAGTTAATGTAGCTCTTTGGGTTTCGGAATTGTAAATCAAGGATCATGACTTTGGACTGGTACCAGTGCTGTGACCTTGAATGACTAACAGCTGGGTAACGAATCGTGCAGGTCAGCTGGTTTCTAGTTAGTACTTTGTTTTTAACAAAATTGAGATTGTAATTCATAGAGTTGTCAGCTAATACATCATTAAAACTGCTTTTTATGATAGAAAACTCAAAAGGAGTTCAGAGAATTGCATGGCTATGTTTACCTGTTCATGCTCGAAAGTTAGCCCTTACATGTGTAAAAACAAAACATAGAAATAAAGTTAACGCTGAACCTTGATTCATTCTAGCAACAAGCAATATTTATTCATGGGTATATGAACCAATAGAAGAGAAAAATAAAAGTTTTAATAGGGCTTTATGGTTAATTGCAGTTTAGAAATATTTTTGTTGCAGAGGAGTATGAGATGGTGATCAATAAAATAATGAGTATAAAGATACATTACTATAACATTCTGTGGGGAAAGTGAAATGAAGTTGATGAAAAATTGAGTTCTGGGAAAAAATTTACAACTATATTAAGAAATTTGTATTATAATTAGATGATGTATTATACTGTCCCAGTATTTAGATTTCATTGGATATATTTAATATTGGTAGTTTAAAAAGTCAGTATTTATAATATGCTGGAAATTACCTTTTGTAACCATTTAAATTATGAAAAGTTTGATAGACTTAAATGAGTGAGGAAGTCTTTTTTTGTTTTTTTAAATTTAGAAGTGTGTGAACAAAAGAGCTAGAAGATCACTTGTCTGGATTATATAGTATAGAGGGCCTTGTATGGACTGGAGCTCTCTGAGGTGGTTAGAGACAGCTTCAAGGACAAGGGTAACATTTGGTCTGAGTTTGATGGTTGAGAAGGTTGCCAGGAAAATAAGGGGATAAATGCCATCAAGTCAAAAATAAAGATTGCATAGAGAAAAAGACTTGGCTTTTGTGGCAGGGGATGGGATGGTAGGAGGCGTTGGTAATTCAATTTAAGGTGGATTTGTTGGAGATATCTGGGGGAATTAATAAATTTGGAGCTCAGTTTACTCTGTGTCAAAATGAGGTGGAATGCTTATTCTTTAGAGTGGGGAGGAGAGGACAGGAGACTGTAACAGACGTGGCAAGAATGTTACTAATAAAAATCGTGGAGATAGGGAGTGTTAGATTTGGAAGAGACTTTAGTCATCAGATCTGCATCAATTTTCTCTTTTTTACAGAGAACTTATTTGGCCCCCATATCCTTAAGGGTTTTGCTAGTGGAGAAGCTAAATTTGAAGCAGTTACGTGGTCTTCTGTCTCTTGATAGAATTCTCAGAATGTTTGATCATATGTTAGAACAATTGAGGAAGTGATTTAAGGAAGAGGAAGTGGGTGGTGGCGTCATGTCACTGTGTCATTGCAGTATGACAACTGGAACATGTATTTTATTTAAGTAATTTAAACTAAAAGTATCTTCAAAATGGAATTTTTGTTTTGATATTAATAACTTTTTATTTTCACTTAGGCTCAGTTGCCTAGTCACATACTTTCCTTATCACATCTGTGGATCAGTCTAACCATGCAAATATTCTTGTGTTTTGTATCATTTTATAGAATTTAATGTTCATCTGTTAACCTTAGTTTCTTATGTTAGCACTCCACATATAAACATGCATTCATAAGGCAGGACATTAGTATTTTGTGGGACTTTGACTAATAGCCATTTTTCTGGAAATTTTATAACTTCTTTCCATTTATTGATGACTTAAATTTTTTTAAAAAACCATTAAAGAGTAGTTGTG